GCATGGGAAGAAAATTTGGGGGTGGGGGGTTTTAAAAAGGGGTTTTAACCCCTTTCCGGCCCCGGTTTTGAGGGGGTAATTTTAGGTTTTTCACTTTTTATTCCCGTCGGGGGTTGTTTTACGAAATAGGGGGAAAAAGGGAGGGGGGGGAGGGGTCGGGTTTGTGGGTAGTAAATCAGCTTTTATGTAGTTTTTTTTGTGAAAGCCTAGGGTTGTGGGGGGAAAATGGTTGGGGGAAAGAAATCCGGTATGGGGGGGGGGGAAAAAGGGTTGTCGGTTTAAAGAGGCTCATTTTGGATGTGGGGGGGGTTGGGGAAAAGGTTTTAAAGGGGGCCCAGTGGTTACTTAGGGGTTTTGTTTTTGTGTATACATCAGGGGGAAATAAAGAGAAAAGGGGCGGGGGAAAACTTTGGGAAAGGCCATAGCAGCATCCTTTTATAAAACAAAGTGTGGGCAACGGGAAAAATATAGGGTAGGAGGTGGGAGGGGGGATTTTGGGAGGGCAAACCGGGGAATTTCTTTTGGGGGTTTTTAGGGGTCTTTAAAAGGGGGCGGGGGCCCATGAACGGGCGGGCCCTTCCAGGGAGGGGGGGGGGGAGTTTGTTTTGTGTTGGAGGTCGTTGGGGTGAGTGTGTGTGGAATTGTGTGGGGAAAGGGGGATGTTGAGGTGTTTTCAATGAAAATGTGTCTTGGTGTTATTTGTGAAACCGTTTATTTTAATTTATCTAAGGGTTCCTTTTATGTTTTGTAAGGATGTACATAAGCCCTGTTTTGTATTTAAGCATTTTTAACCCGTAATTTTTTTAAAGTTACCTATATTTGAGCAATGTAACCCTTTTCATTTTAAAAATGGGGATTTCATACCTGGGTTTTTTTAATAGTTTGAAAAGTTTTGGTTTTTTATAAAATGTAAAAAATTTTGCCTGGGGTTTTTTTTGCTTTTATATTGTTACAGATGTTTTTTTTTTTACATTTTCCTTATGTATATGTTCAAATGAATGGCTTTTGATCTTTTGTATTGCCAGGTGAAAAATGGACAGTTTTTTTACTTGGGGGGGGTAGGAGTTTAAAATAATCTTGCAATTTGCAGGTATGTGACACACATGTATATTATTTTTTGATGCCTAATGTTTGGGCCTTTTTCTGTATTATTTTTTTTTTATTATTAAAAAATTAAACCGGTATTTTTCCCGGGCCCCGGGCCCTTTTTCCCAAATGGTGGCCCGGCCTTGGCTCCTCTTTAGGGAAAATGTCTGAGACCCAAGTCTCCATGGGAGGGGGGCACAAGTACCTCCCATCTTTGGGACCAAAATGTCCCCAGGCCCAGCCCCCAGCTAGGCCCCTTTGGTCTGCCATCCCCCCCCCAAAAGGGGGGAAAGGGGGAAAGACAGTCTTATGAGGGTAAAAGGTCGGGCTCAGGGGAACCCACCCTACCCTAGAAAGGGGGTTTGGCCCTTTGGGTCGATTATTCTCGTAGGATGGTTTTATGTTATTCCGGGAGTGTAAATAAAATTTTCGCCCGGGGGGGAATAATTTGTAAATTTTTTTATTATTGTGGTTTGGTTTTTGTGGGATAGCGTGTTTTTTAGGGGGATTATTATAAGACGCTAATTACCATCAATGAAATGTTGGTGGTTTTTTAAATGGGGACGGGGAGGAAAACAGTTAAAAGGAGGATGGGTTGAAGTGTCAGGGGGTAAAATGTTTTTAAACCCCACCAAGTGCCACGGGTATTTAAATTTTTACCTAGGGGATATGGGGGGTTGGGTGGATTGTGTTTTTTTAGGTGGTTTTGAAACCCTCAGGTTCAGACATTCCTTGTATTATAGGTCAGGCCCTTTAGTGGTGGTTTTGTTTTATATTTTTTTCATTAAAGTTTTTAAAAGCTTTTTTCAATTGTATAAGTATAAGAGATTTGTCACTGTGTATCTAAGGTGAAAATTTGGGACGTTTTCATGGGGGGGGGGAGTTTTAAGAAATTTTATATATTAAGGGGATTATATATATATATTATATTTTATATTTTATTTATATATTATTAAATATTTTTATTATATATATATATATTTATATATATATATATATATATATAATAAAATTTTTTATAATTCAGAATTTAACCCGCATTATGGTTTTTTGTTTAAAAACGGCCCAAAACTACTATGTTTTAATAACTTAGTATTTTCTTATTTTTACTGTGCTGCTATTATTATTTTTTAGTCCCCCTCAAATTTACAACTTAACACAACCCTTCCTTTTGGGAAAGAAAACGAAGCCTTCGGGAACATATTTATGGCTAACTGAACAATAATGAAATTATCTTACTAAGAAGAAGTAAAAGATGTAAAAACGTTTAATTGGGTACAATTACACACTAGCACAATTAAATATTTTTTTTGGATGATTATAATTGCCTTACACGGTGACATTTGTGTAAATTACCTAGGATAACCCAAAAAAAGGCCCTCGTTACTTTAGCAGCCTAACATTTAGATACTGTAAAATCAGTCATGATTATAAGCATGTAACATAACTCGTATGCATCTAATGGTTTTAATCATAACCATAATTTTTAAAGGGATTGAGGGCTAAGCCAGCGGAAGGCCTCGGTCAGATGACCAAAAGCTCCAGCTGCGGGTCATCATATGACTGAGACCCGCGTCAAGAAACACTTGTCCTGTTTCTTGAGAAACCTAATTACGTATAACCATACAAATGAAATAAAATAAATAAATCGACTGCATGAAATCAGTTACAAATAAAAGATATAATAAGGATAAAGTAAAGTGGGAAGTTTCATGTTAGCAACGTTCTCGCCTGGCGGGGCCAGGAGCTGAGTCTCGACCCCTGCAACCACAATTAGGTGAGTACACACTGAGTGTCCGTGGTTCAATCCCCGTCATAATTGGAAACGTTGGGTATATTTCCTTACACTTGATTTCCCTAGCAATAAGTAAGTACCTGGCTGTTAGGCAACTGGTGTTAGTCTTATCTCTTATCTTATCCTGGGGACAAGATTGATGGACCCAAATGGAAATTAAACAGACAGTCCTCGATGACGCACTGGCTTTCATGGGCTATCCTGGGTGGCAAACCCTCCCGGTTAAAACTCCGAACATATCTTATAAAGAAAAGCTTAATATAAAATAATAATTATATAATAATATTATTCTTATTATTTTATATTAATCGTTTCTCTATAAGAAATCACTTTCCTCCCTCTCTGTAGCTACATTCATTAGGAACCTTTTAGCTCTCTTCCTGATCTAGTTTATGCCAAGACTGGCCTTGACATGTTGAGGCAATCCTTTCCACTCCTTTGTTGCTCCATAATAGGTGTTTGAGGCCTGAACACCTACTGTAGATACTACGAAGCTGTGTTCACTTTCCCTAATACCATACATGGCTTTGGTTCCTAACCCTGACAATATTTGCACCAAGATATTCTGGATACTGAGCAATTTTATAAACATGATGCAGTTTCAGCTACCTTACCCTATCTTCAACATTCAGCAATTCCAGTTGCTATAAATCCTCTTGGTGTATATGATCTCTAGGTTCCAGGTCTAGAATGAATTTCACCATCTTATTCTGGTTAATTTGGAATCTGATTTTCAATCTTATTTTGTTAGAACAGAGCATCATGAAGAACAAGAATAATCATGGTAATCTGCTATAACAAAAAAAGACTGAAACGTTAATAACGCAGAAGAGCGCACTAAAGTCGGTGCGACATTGGGAATGTCTGTCTTATTTCCATTGGGGATCCTTTAAGCTTTTTCCCCCAGGATGCGACCCACAGAGTCGACTAACACCCAGGTACCTGCTTACTGCTAGGTGAACAGGGGCAGCAGGTGTAAGGACATAAGCCCAACGCTTCACCCGTGCCTGGGAGCGATCCCTGGTGGTTCAGTGTGTGAGTTGAGGACACTACCAACCGTCCAGGATACTACTCACAACAGTCGAATACCACCCTAGGACTGAACTCAGGGCCTTCAGTTGTTAGCCGAAGATGCTCCTGCTAAGCTATACAAAATCTCTACGCAACAGCCAAAGGAAACAAAGTGTTATTATTATTAATTATTATTATTGCTGTTATTGGTGGCGTTGTTTATATATTTTGGGGGGAGGTCTAAACTTGTAAAGATCATACAGCGCAATGAAAGCGGGAGGCAGTCAGAGAATAGCTCCATTGTCTTGGGTTAAAAGTCCTTCATCAACATCAAATTTCCCTCCCGCCTTGCAGGGACATTTATAGAAAACAAATGGCAGCAGCAACTAATGCTCCCATACATCGCCTTATCATTCATGGAAACTGTGACCTACCCGAGCTACGTAAAAAAAAATATCAGCACATAGTAATGACCTAATATACGATGATATTACACATCCTGTAGGTTCTTACACTTACACTCGCTCACTCATTTGACCATAAACAAAAATATTAATCTCAGTCTTAAAATAATGAATCCTGTGATACTCCAATACTGAAACTATATACTGTGCCAAAACAAAAGCATTCACATTGCTAAACTCATAAACTAGTATTTAGTCACTTAGCCATAATACCAACTTACCTCAAAATTTGTAATATTTTACAATTAAGAATAAAACTAAGTATGCCCGAAATGCCTAGCCATGCTAAGCGTTCTAGTGGTACACTCTGTAATCACAATTTTACTACATGTAAACCAAACAATAACCAAATTTCTGTAAACTCAGCATTGTAATCCTTATAGAGAATAAACTTTGAATTTGAATTTGAATTAGTGACATCATGACGTCATGGGGTTAGCCCACTATTGCCCACGTTGTGTAATTCTTCGATTATTCCTTCATTCTCATTCACTCAGTGTTAAAGCAGATTTTAGTATATTACAGCATATTAATGTGGTGGTAGTTTCAATTTAAAGATTTTCAGTAGTGTTTGAATCTCGGGAGGAATAGAGACAAAATGTCACAAAGCAGCATCGTGCCAGGGAGAGTTGCTGAGCCTCGTGAGGGAGGAGAGTCATGCCAACACTCAGTGAGACGTGTACGTTGAGAGGGTGTTGATACGTACCACCTGTGAGTAGAATCTCGGTCTCTCATTCGTGAAAAGTTTGTTTAGCACTACAGAGAGCGATCAGAGGTACGCGTGGTAATCCTACAGTGAGCTGAGAAGTGCAAAAAGGAAGGATGGCCGGATGTGATGTTCACTTGATACGTATATTGCTAGTGTTTTTGGCTCTTTCGTGCCTAGCCTCGGACTGGAGGCAAATCTGTATTTTAGACGAGCATGTGTATACTCTCAGAGAGCATGACATTGCTTTCTTCCAACCACCGAATCTGAATACAGAGATTACAATACAATCCGACTCGTGTCAATTCTTTAAGAAACTGAAATTTCATACACCTAAAAAACTCGGAAATAACACACACTTGCAAGATTCTAGAGGTTGGCAGTGGTACGAGATCAGCTTTTTCATAGATGATCCCGTCTTTTACGTGATTGTAGAAGCCCAAAACACTTTAAATGCTTCCCTGACATGGGACCCTCCTCCTGGTTGTAATATAACCCAAGGAGTACAATTTAGTTTTGATGATTTCACAGTCCTCGGCATTGATTGTCCTCAACAAATATCTGATCTCGAAGATTCATCTATTTATGCTTTCAAGAATACTTACCAGGACGAAACTTATTATAAAAGTAGCTATAGTGGAAGCCATATTATTTTCATTCCAGTGGGTGCCATCCTTGTTTGCCTGAGTGTGTGTTGCCGTTGTTGCTTCCGCCACAGGAGAACTTTACGCCCTGTCAGGACTATTGCAGTTGTGAGAAGTGTCGCAGCAACTCCAGTCATTGTTACAACACAGCGGGATGTGGACCATCCTCCCTCTTACAATGACATCCAGAACGATTGCGAGCAGCCGCCACCATACTCAGAAATCGAGAAAGAGTGCTCACCACCGCCTACGCAACTGGCCTCAGCAGAGACATCCACAATCAGTACCACAGCCACGGTAGCTCATACTTCAGACGTCACAGAGAATCCTCGTTTAACAAGTGCATCGAGGATTTTCCGAATGTTGCCCTCACGACCTAAGGCTCAGTTTTCCTTCAAGCCCCTAAATGAGGAGAACTAAGAAGTATCTACCTTATTCCACTCGTCCCTTTTTTCCTATTCATGGAACGTAAGTATTAAAAATAAATAATTTTCGATCTTGTATTACTCGATCATTTTTTGTAACCCTATGGAATACATTTGTTGTAACCTTGTGGAAGACATCACTTAAACTCAAGTCCATTATTGTAAATGTGACAATTTTTTTTCACCATTCCGTGGCCGAAACAGTTCACAGGTTGCCCACAAATTAAAAAGGAAGAATGGACAGTGTCCTTCTTGGACCGCAATGATTTTATTTGATAATAGTCAGACAGACCCAAACACGTCAAGTTTCATTTTCGGTTTGTGAATTGTGTATTTGTGTGAAATTTCAGTTCCTATTAACAACTTTGTAGACATAAACCAAATAACAATGTAGGGACATATAAACCAAACAACAATGTAGGGACATTTACCAAACAACAATGTAGGGACATAAACCAAACAACAATGTAGGGACATTTACCAAACAACAATGTAGGGACATTTACCAAACAACAGTGTAGGGACATAAACCAAACAACAATGTAGGGACAAACCAAACAACAATGTAGGGACATATAAATTAAACCAGTGTAGGGACATAAGCCAAACAACAGTGTAGGGACATTAAACCAAACAACAATGTAGGGACAAACCAAACAATGTAGGGACATAAACCACACAACAATGTAGGTATATATAAACTAAACCAGTGTAGGGACATAAACCAAACAACAATGTAGGGACATACAAACCAAATAACAAAGTAGGGACATAAACCAAGCAACAATGTAGGGACATATAAACCAAACAACAGTGTAACAGTGTTGGGACATATAAGCCAAACAACAGTGTAGGGACAAACAAACAACAATGTAGGGACAAACCAAACAACAATCTAGGGACTTAACCCAAACAAGTGCAGGGACATAAAACCAAGCAACCGTCCATACCTCGGGTAGGGATAGAACCCGCGATCAGTCTCAAAACTCCAGACCGTTGCTTTAGCCACTGGGCCAGCTAGCCAGAGAATATTCATCCAAATAGGTATATTTCTACACCATAGGAAGGTTAGCATAGGCACCACTGTAACCACAAATGCAAGTTTTTACTGACGAGTCTCCAGCTAGCGTGGCCGTGACGAACTCTAGCTCAAGTCCCCTCAAAGCCGTCAACATGACTGATCGCTGGTTCTATCCCCGCCCGTGGTATGGTTTGCAATCGTGTCATTACGATTTCGTGAGTCAAGCACCAGTGTAGGGACACAAAACAAACAACATTGTATGGACATGTAAACCAAATGTTACCTGGCACTTGAGTTAGCACTGAGGTTTATGCAATGCGTGATCTGTAGTAACATTGGGTTCCAGAATAATCAGGTGGACTTTACGGTCTATCGACTACACGCACGTCATTAAGGCGTAACATAAATAGTTGCTAATATCAACCATATTTTAAAATATTATATTAATACTAATAATAAAAACTGTAACACTTTCTTGCTAAAATACAGCAATATATATATATATATATATAATATTATATATATATATATATATATATATATATATATATATATATATATATATATATATATATATATATTATATATATATATATATATTATATATATATATATATATATATATATATATATATATATATATATATATATATATATATATATATAAGTGAGCAAATTTTCCCAGGATGACAACTCCTGATTAAAAATTATGAATATGTAAGTTTTTCCTGCAAGTCTTGACTCACAATTACAAGTAAATTGGTTATTTGTTATTAAATATTAACACCATTAGGTAGGCCTACCTCAAGCCAGGGTTAGGTCTCTGAACTCATGTACCTCAGGGAATTGAACCAACCCGGCAGGTTCAGTAGCATCAAGGTACCCTTCAAGAGGGTACCTTGATCTTATTGAAGGATTCTTGATCCAAAGAATTGTATCATCCCATACGAAATTTACCCTTCCCGCATAAAATTAGTAACATCGAATCCCTTAAGTAGACAGGCACTAAGAAAAAATATGCTGTCCTTGCGTACACGACATAAAAACTATGAAATGTTAATTAATTATTCTTTACGTTTCAGAAATGTCCTCGGTGAGAAGAAATGTCAGAAGACGACCTGTATAAGGTAGACTGCTTCATGCTAGTACAGTTTTTGGAGAAAAAGAGCAATGTGAGAGTGGTTCAAGAGATGGTGCTGTCCTATTTGGCACCAGGTGGCTCCCTTTGAGCGTGTCTCTGCAGACCTTTGGTTACATCGTTAGAAGACTGACTATGGGGCTTCTTAAAGCCTCGGTTTAATAGACTTAGTTTCTACACCATTAATTCAACAACCTCTTTTCAACACCATTGGTTCAACAGCTTTGTTTCAACACCATTGTTTCAACAGCCTTGCTTCAACACCATTGTTTCAACAGCCTTGTTTCAACACCATTGCTTCAACATAGCATCAAAACTTTCATGTCACAATAAAGGAGACTAACCATTTAGCTCTAAAAGAATCGGTAAAATTTTGTTGAGCACCGCAATAATGTTTTTAATCTAAAAAAATGCGAGTTTGACCATGAGGTTTCTCCATGTAGCCTGATGTAGAATAATTCGTGTACCATACAGTGAATCTTTATTGTAGTACTAAGAGCTTACAGTTTTGAAGTGATACTTGCTATATTTCAGTATAATAATTGCCTTCCTTAATATGAAATGGCTTATATAAATGTTTATGTAATATGTAATTACCAATATCTTTGCCAGATTTCTTCTCGAGACAACATACTCTTCTTCCATTAAAGATGTGTTTCCTTTATGTCGAGGAAGAATTCTTAATCCAAGGAATTAGAGCAATTCCGTGCCTTTTCTTGGATCGAATCTATTCACCTCGCATTACCCAAGGCGCTGTGTGACCCTTACAGGTTTAACGCGTCACCATGAGCATGATAACCCTTTTATATGGCTACGTGTTGTGTAGATGGGCTAAAATAAAATGACTGTGATTTTAATTATTGCTGTGCTTTTTGGTGGCTTATAAAGTATTTATGGATTTTGATTTAAGTTTATTTTGAGCATTAGAATTTATGAATGAGACGCGATTTTTTTCAAGGCTCTCAAAGCTACATTGCTATATAACGCATAGAGGTTTAGATCTTAATGTATAATAATAATAATAATAATAATAATAATAATAGCTACTTTAAGTTCATGATCCAAATAAATGTCGCGAATCTGAACTCATAATTACCTTTTATAACTCGAGATAAAACCAAAATCATTCCATTCTGATGATAATACAAACAACTATTATTCTTGTTTCTTGATATTAATAATGTTAATATAATATGTTCAGTGTAAAAATATTAAAATGTTTTCCAGATTTTTGCCACCATAATAATTAAATGTTTTGTAATGTTAATGAATATAACAATATAAATGACTCATTTTTGCTGTTATTGTCAATATAATAATTTATATTTTATAAATGTTTAATTTTTATGTATATGTTTAGGTTTATCTTGCTCAATAAATTGTTACTTATATAATGAGAAATTGTTATTTATGTAAGTAAGAATATATTCATATATGCTTGTGTGGAGTATACTGGCAGCTTTCTATAAAGTGGAGTATACGAGTATTTTTGATAGTATGCACTACTGACAAGTTGATGGATGAGACATGTGCAACACAAGTTGATGGATGAGACATGTGCAACACCAGTTGATGGATGAGACATGTGCAACACAAGTTGATGGATGAGACATGTGCAACACAAGTTGATGGATGAGACGTGCAACACAAGTTGATGGATGACGCGTATGTGCAACAGTGGCTTTAACAATTCAATGCAGAGGTTAATTTGAGGTGTTGAAACTGGAGACAGTAGAAGACGAGGTAATTAGTCCTTCATCCTAGATGGTATTCACCGTAGTCTTGAATCTGAGTTTCATTAGGCTACGGTGGTGAGTGCCATCCAAGCAAAAGGACTGTTTACCTCGTCTTCTACTGTCTCCAGTTTCAACACCTCAGATTAATCTCTCTTGAACTGATAAAACCACTGGCTGGCTTTATCAATTCAAGAATAAAGATACTCAGGTGTTGCAAATGTGTCTCATTCATCAACGAGTATGTTTATATAGTAGAGTATATTTGTATAAAGTTATTTCGTACCGAAGGCTGTATGAAAATGAGTTATATCAAAATAATTCAAACTGTTTTATTTTTCTTTCCTCAGTTTACATGTTATGCAACAATACATTTTAATACAAATTACATAAATTAGTTGTTGAAAAGTATATAAGATGTGCAGTCATGCATTACTACACTGTGTATATTACATTAGCAACAGTTAAAGATATAAAAAGTTTTATATACAAAGCTATACATGTTGCTAAAAGTATTTTGATCTACAGAATATATACACAAGTGTATTTCCCTCAGTGTATATATACCGAAAGTTTACTTTAATCACTCTTCTAGGGATGAAGTTATTCATCTATGGTGGTGAAAAAGTTACCATACAGCCTTAATGACAGACTTTAAACCACCATAAACCAACCTAATCTGAATCAAGGAATTTGAACTATCTTCACCTGTCTTGGATCAGACCGGATTACTACTCATTCCTCAGGCTCTGCATGACCCCTACAGGCACACACAGCTTCCTTCATGCTGATGATCTCCGGTGGTAAACAACAGAAGTACGTCCAGCATTTTGATGTGATGGTAATTTTTTATATACGTGATAGGCATTCTCATTATTATTATGGCCGTTGTTTGTTAGTCTTTTTAAAGTTTAACATTCTTGAAATTTAACAATATACATTGTATCTTGATATAAGGCAGATTATAACTGAAGGCAATCAAACTGTTCAGTATGGCATCAGCCACGCTTGCTGACAACAGTGTGGCATCAACCATCTTTGCTGAAAACAGTGTGGCATTAGTTATCTTTGCTGACGAAGTGTGGCATCAACCACTATCGCTGACAGTAATGTGGCATCAGCTGCCATCGCTGAGAACTGTGGCATCAGCCATCACCGCTATCAACACAGTTCAAGAAAACTGATATAAGTATACAATGAAAGTAAATATATTACACACAAAATAAACACAACAATACATACAATTATACACACAAAACAACACAATAATACAAACAATACACACACAACACTAACTTTTACACCCTCATAGCACAATGAGTGATCATAAATAATGAAACATACCTCACAGATACGAAAACATAACATATACCATAGATATTTAAACAGCAGATACATCAGGAACACTATAGATACACCACAGATACTGAAAAATAATAGGTACATAATGCAGATATTATTTAGTGGCTTAGCGCTTCTTTTTTTATTATAATAATAATAATATTTAGGTAATCACTGGATATGGTAACATGTGGCAGGATGGGTATGGGGTGCATAATAAACATATTAAACTAACTATGGTAACATGTGGCAATATGAGCCGGTGATGAAAGCATTACGTAATACAGAATACATAATGCAAAACTTTGCCTTCGACGGACAGTGATGTGATAAATCATGCTGTGGGACGGGGCGTCAAAGGGAATCCATCCCGTGTGGTTGAGCGTAAAAGGAAAATCATCTTGTGTGATGGAGTATTACTTGAAACCCATCCTGTGTGATGGAGTATGACTTGAAACTCATCCTGTGTGATGGAGTATTACTTGAAACCCATCCTGTGTGATGGAGTATGACTTGAAACCCATCCTGTGTGATGGAGTATGAATTGAAACCCATCCTGTGTGATGGAGTATGACTTGAAACTCATCCTGTGTGATGGAGTATGACTTGAAACCCATCCTGTGTGATGGAGTATGACTTGAAACCCATCCTGTGTGATGGAGTATGAATTGAAACCCATCCTGTGTGATAGAGTATGACTTGAAACCCATCCTGTGTGATGGAGTATGACTTGAAACCCATCCTGTGTGATAGAGTATGACTTGAAACCCATCCTGTGTGATGGAGTATGACTTGAAACCCATCCTGTGTGATGGAGTTTGACTTGAAACCCATCCTGTGTGATGGAGTATGACTTGAAACCCATCCTGTGTGATGGAGTATGACTTGAAACCCATCCTGTGTGATGGAGTATGACTTGAAACCCATCCTGTGTGGAGTATGACTTGAAACCCATCCTGTGTGATGGAGTATGACTTGAAACCCATCCTGTGTGATGGAGTATGAATTGAAACCCATCCTGGGTGATGGAGTATGACTTGAAACCCATCCTGTGTGATGGAGTATGACTTGAAACCCATCCTGTGTGATGGAGTTTGACTTGAAACCCATCCTGTGTGATGGAGTATGACTTGAAACCCATCCTGTGTGATGGAGTATGACTTGAAACCCATCCTGTGTGGAGTATGACTTGAAACCCATCCTGTGTGATGGAGTATGACTTGAAACCCATCCTGTGTGATGGAGTTTGACTTGAAACCCATCCTGTGTGATGGAGTATGACTTGAAACCCATCCTGTGTGATGGAGTATATGACTTGAAACCCATCCTGTGTGATGGAGTTTGACTTGAAACCCATCCTGTGTGATGGAGTATGACTTAAAACCCATCCTGTGTGATGGAGTATTATTTGAAACCCATCCTGTGTGATGGAGTATGACTTGAAACCCATCCTGTGTGATGGAGTATTACTTGAAACCCATCCTGTGTGATCTACCTGGAGTCTACCTGGAGGGCATTCCGGGGATCAACGTCCCCGCGGCCCGGTCCACGACCAGGCCTCCCGGTGGATCAGGGCCTGATCAACGAGGCTGTTACTGCTGGCCGCACGTAATCCAACGTACGAACCACAGCCCGGCTGATCCGGCACCGTCTTTAGGTATCTGTCCAGCTCCCTCTTGAAGACAACCAGGGGTCTTCTCGTAATGCCCCTTATTGCTGGTGGGAGGCTGTTGAACAGTCTTGGGCCCCGGACACTTATTGTGTTTTCTCTTAGTGTACCAGTGACGCCCCTACTTTTCATTGGGGGTATGTTGCATCGCCTGCCAAGTCTTTTGCTTTCGTATGGAGTGATTGCTGTGTGCATATTAGGGACCAGTCCCTCCAGAATCTTCCAGGTGTAGATTATGATATATCTCTCTCGCCTGCGCTCTAGTGAGTACAAGTCAAGTGCTTCCAGGCGCTCCCAGGTGTTTGATGGAACTTATACGTGCAGTAAAGGTTCTCTGTACATTCTCTAGCTCTGCACTTTCACCTGCCTTGAATGGGGATGTTAATGTACAGCAGTATTCCAGCCTAGAAAGAATAAGTGATTTAAAAAGGATCATCATTGGCTTAGCATCTCTTGTCTTGAATGTTCTCATTATCCATCCTATCAGTTTCCTAGCAGATGTGATAGTGGCATTGTTGTGATCCTTGAAGGTGAGATCCTCTGACATTACCACTCCCAGGTCTCTCACATTACTTTTCCTCTCTATTGTGTGATTGGAGTTTGTAGTATACTCAGTTCTAGTTATTATTTCCTCCAGTTTCCCATAACGGAGTAGTTGGAATTTGTCTTCATTGAACATCATATTGTTCTCTGTTGCCCATTGGAAAACTTGGTTTACATCTTGGAGGTTAACAGTGTCCTCAATGGATGACACTCTCATGCGGATCCTAGTATCGTCTGCAAAAGATGATACAGCGCTGTGGAGTATGACTTGAAACCCATCCTGTATGATGGAGTATGACTTGAAACCCATACTGTGTGATGGAGTATGATTTGAAACCCATCCTGTGTGATGGAGTATGACCTGAAACCCATCCTGTGTGATGGAGTATGACTTGAAAAACATCCTGTGTGATGGAGTATTACTTGAAACCCATCCTGTGTGATGGAGTATGACTTGAAACCCATCCTGTGTGATGGAGTTTGACTTGAAACCCATCCTGTGTGATGGAGTATGACTTGAGACCCATCCTGTGTGATGGAGTATGACTTGAAACCCATCCTGTGTGATGGGGTATGAATTGAAACCTATCCTGTGTGATGGAGTATGACTTGAAACCCATCCTGTGTGATGGAGTATGACTTGAAACCCATCCTGTGTGATAGTGTGACTTGAAACCCATCCTGTGTGATGGAGTATGACTTGAAACCCATCCTGTGTGATGGAGTATGACTTGAGACCCATCCTGTGTGATGGAGTATGACTTGAAACCCATCCTGTGTGATGGGGTATGAATTGAAACCTATCCTGTGTGATGGAGTATGACTTGAAACCCATCTGTGTGATGGAGTATGACTTGAAACCCATCCTGTGTGATGGAGTGTGACTTGAAACCCATCCTGTGTGATGGAGTATGACTTGAAACCCATCCTGTGTGATGGAGTTTGACTTGAAACCCATCCTGTGTGATGGAGTATGACTTGAAACCCATCCTGTGTGATGGAGTATGACTTGAGACCCATCCTGTGTGATGGAGTATGACTTGAAACCCATCCTATGTGATGGAGTATGACTTGAAACCTATCCTGTGTGATGGAGTATGACTTGAAACCCATCCTGTGTGATGGAGTATGACTTGAAACCCATCCTGTGTGATGGAGTATGACTTGAAACCCATCCTGTGTGATGGAGTATGACTTGAAACCTATCCTGTGTGATGGAGTATGACTTGAACCCATCCTGTGTGATGGAGTATGACTTGAAACCCATCCTGTGTGATGGAGTATGACTTGAAACCCATCCTGTGTGATGGAGTATGACTTGAAACCCATCCTGTGTGATGGGGTATGAATTGAAACCTATCCTGTGTGATGGAGTATGACTTGAAACCTATCCTGTGTGATGGAGTATGACTTGAAACCCATCCTGTATGATAGGTATATGACTTATAACTCATACTGTATGATGGGTGTATTAAGTAAATATGGTTATTTCTTCGGTCCTTATACAATGTCATATGAATCAGAGTAACTACACAATGTGATTTATAAAATTTTAATAAAACTATTATTGTATGTTATTTATAGTCAAGTTTCTCTTACTAATGCATACTTATTTATGTGCTAAGTCATAAAGTCACGTGATAAAAGGCAAAACTTTATTTTAGATATTTTTGTCACTCGGGACCGAACCTTATCAAGACTTGACAAGGCTCAATGTTCCTAATGGTATCCTTATTGAAACATAAAATTGTAGCATGTAAAAATAGTTTAAATG